TCCTCTTCCCTCTGAGATCCCTCAGTCTGTTCCATGCTTCCATGTCTCTGGATCTATTTTGTTCATCTGTTTATTTTGTTCGTTAGATTCCACATGTGAGATGGTGTGATACTTGCCTTTCTATGACTAGCTTATTTCACTTAGCATAATACTCTCCAGGTCCCTCCCTGCTGTCTCAAAGGGTAAGAGATCCTTCTTTTTTACAGCTGCATAGTATTCCACGGTGTAAATGTCCCACAGTTTTTTTATCCACTCAGCTACTTATGGGCACTTGGACTGCTTCACAGGTGTTTTTCAATCAGTTTATTTTTTGGTCATGGATACTTCAGTGCTTTTCAGGTCATATGACTCATTTCTCATGGCAAGAACACCAGGAAAATTCATTTAAATATTTATTCTGATACTGAAGTTCATACACAAAGCAGCTGTGCAAGCATAAGCCAATGCAATAACATCTGGCCTTCAAATCACCTTTTTCCAAATACCTAACATCCCTGAGACCCAACTTTTCACCTTTCCCCTGAAGACTGAACTACTCCAGAAAGCATCTAGGCATCTGCCTAAGCATCTGTACGGATCCTGTACTTTCCTCCACTTAAGGATGGGAGAGATAGGAGTGAAACTGTGATTTAGATATCAATTTTTCCCTTTTCATTTATATCTCTACACAAAATGCTGAGAATAACCCACTCTAGAAAGCCTTTCCCCTCCCCAGCTCTATTTCTTCAACTTTCTATCTTCACAGCCCTAATTTTGGTGTTGGTACCCCAAAGTGGTTAAGAATATAAATGTGCCCAGCCAGTGCGGCTCAGTGGCTGAGCATTGCCCCATGAGTCAAGAGGTCACTGTTCGATTCCAAGTCAGGGCATGTGCCTGGGTTTCGGGCTCAATCCCCAGTAGGGGGCGTGCAGGAGGCAGCCGATCAATGATTCTCTCTCGTCATTGATGTTTCTATCTCTCCTTCCCCCTTCCACTTTCTGAAATCAATAAAAACATATTTTTCAAAAAAGAGTATAAATGTAACAACCTCACATGAAAGGCCTATTTACCTCAATTCCTTTTGCCCACGACATCATATATGGCTTTGAACAAAAATTTACAAGACGTACAAAAAGACACACACAAAAATACCATTTGTAGAGAGAAAGCATCAGAACCATGCTCAGAAGTGGCAGAAATTTTGAAATTACCAGTATGGGCCTTTAAAATTAATATGATTA